GGATGGTGGAGCTCCCTGGTGTAGCGCAATTCGACTGCCCTCTGCATGAGGTGATCTCCTCTCCTTTGTAGGCGGCGGGAGCTGAGGGACCTGCGAGAACTGAATCAGAGGACCCGGGGGTATTTTCCTGGCGGGGACTCTCCGATGCCTAAGTTAGCATTCTAATTGTAGGGAGCTTGGAGAGAAATGAGAGAGCTAGAGAGCAAGGATTGCCTCCATTTTTTTAATTCTCTCCCCCTTGTCTTTGGGGGTCGGAGTCCTTATATAGTGGTGTCCTGTAAAATCAGGTGTAACAGCCTCTGTCAAGTCAGGCGTAACCGCTTCTGTCTCTCTACCGCAGCCATTACTCTCAAAGCTGAGGTGGCTGGTGCAGGCGACTGCTACGGAGTACGACTCTGCCAGTCAAGGGACAACTCTCAGGATTGGCAGGCACGGCGCCGCCTAGCGAGAGACGTGGGCACAGGTCTCCGGATCTATCAGGTACAGTTGTCAGGCAGGAGATCTTCCTGCGATACGCCGAGCTGCCCCTAAGTGTCGAGCTGCCTGTAAGTGCCGAGCTGCCCCTAAGTGGCGAGCGCTTCGTAAGACGCCAGGCTGCCTACGGAGTGGCCAGCTGCCTGTGGCGAGCTGCCTATGTCGAGCTACTCGAGCTGTATCGAGTTGCCTATGCCGAGCTGCCAGAGCTACCCAGTCGTCAAGAGGCTGCACTTGGTTTGCATGAGGTGCTAGGTGTCACAATTTCACTGGAGGGCCAAATCCACCCTCATCATTTGCCCCCCACTCCCAAGCTGAGAGTAACTCAGCGAAGGGAGTAGATTTTTTCTTTTGGCCCATAAGTCGATGAGCTAGTAAGTGCTGATCCAATTCCTTAGGCTTTGGGAGCTGCCTGCCAATGGCGAGCTGCCTGTAAGGTTAGGAGGTCTCCGCCAGTTCAGTAGTGTAGCCCTTAGGCTCTGGAGGCAACTTATAGTTCACTTTTGCTGATTTTGCTCATGCTGAGGAAGCGACTGGGTATTTAGCAATAGTGTGGCCCGTAGGCTTTGGAAGCGACTCGTAGTCCACGCTTCTTGACTTTGGCCATGCCGAAGAGGCGACTGTGTCTTAAGCAGTAATGTGGCCCGTAGGCTTTGGGAGAAACTCGTAGTCCACTCTTCTTTGACTTTGCCCGTGCCGAAGAGGCGACTGGGACTTAAGTAGTAATGTGGCCCATAGGCTTTTGGGAGTGGCTCTTAGTCCACTCTTCTTTGACTTTGCCCATGCCGAAGAGGCGACTAGGTCTTAAGCAGTAATGTGGCCCGTAGGCTTTGGGAGTGACTCGTAGTCCACTCTTCTTTGACTTTGCCCATGTCGAAGAGGCGACTGGGTCTTAAGTAGTAATGTGGCCCGTAGGCTTTTGGGAGTGACTCGTAGTCCACTCTTTTTTG